GATTTTTCAGGGTCTAAGTGAAGCTGGAGGACCAGCTCTCCTTTCCCCAGACTGACCTGACTTCAGCCACTCCGGGGCCCTGAGTTCACTCTTCTGCTGGAAGCTCTTGGATCTCACTGGGAGTGAGGTTTTCCCTGAACGTGTTTGACTTGACCCATCTGAAAAGCGAGATGAGGTCATGCATACGCTGCTGCGCGTTACGTTTGCATGAAGCCTGGGTTTTAAAGGCGATGGAGGGATCACCTCTCGGCCAACTCCCCGGAGCCGAGGGGGTTTGTAGCACTCCAGCTCCGTCATTTTGCCCTTCAGCAGTCTTTTTGTTTCTGTTCCTCAGCTTTCTCCCAGTGGTGCTCAGCCAGGCTCTTCGGATAAACAAAGCCCCACGTCCGAGAGCTGCCCGCGCCCCGGCTGCGGTTGGACAGTGTTAATCTTATATACGCGCTATCGGCGACCGTTTGAAGTTCCTGCTGCCACCACAAAGCAGTGCTGAAGAAATGACTTCAGAAGTACTGCGAGCACCACGCTGTGTGTAATTGCAACAGGGATGATACACATGTGGGTTTTATTATTATTCTAAAAACGCACAATTGGGAAAGCCAATATTTTTAATGGAAGTGGTTTCAAATGCTAGTGTTTATTTGCTTATTAAATGGTTTAGCTGGAGACAGAGCATCTTCAAAGGAGGAATTTTTTTTCCCAGAATGGGTATCTGGGGCTATAGTGCTATATTATTATACATAAAAAAATATTTCCTTATTAGCTTTTTGTTTCAGAGAACACATTTAATTGACACTTCCCATGCTGACAGCTTGCCAAGCTTCAAAGCACAACTTCTGCAAGGATGACAGTGGTTGTGAGGCTGGTCCAGATGAAGCTGCACACACAAGCTCTGGGAAAGGAGTTTTTCCTGGTTCTGGAAAGCCTAAAGCCGAGGTCTGCGTTGGGACACACACGCTGTGTGTGTTTGGGCCGTCTTTCAGAGGGACATGATGCACTTCCAAGCTGTGACCACATTCTGGGGACCTCGTTTCTTCTGTAATTCCAGTTGCTTCCTACAGCAACGCCGATTTCCCAAGGCGTGTGGGAAAGCTCTCCCCACACCGCCCCAGAGCCAGGGGCAGGCGCTGGGAGAGCTGAGGGGCCCAGCCAGAGCTGGGGGATTAACCCTTGGTCACCCCAAGCCAGAAATCAAAGCTCTTCTCCGTCTCCCTGGGACATTTGACTGACGCAGGCTCCCCAAAGGATGCTTCAGGGAGGATTGCAATGGTCAGAGCATCATGCCCTGAGCCCTTACAAGGCACGTGGCTAAGGCAAACCACAGCAACGCTGCATCTTCCTTGCACCCTTTCACCCAAGGATGCAGTAACAGCAGTGCACCTTTACGTATGAAAAAGTCTTTTCAAAATAAAAATAAATAAATAAATAAATCACAATCTCTCTGCCCTCACACGGAGGCTGGAGTTCCCACGCTCCTGCTGATGAAGGCTGACACCTCCCACCACAATTTGCCCATCAAACAGCATCGTTGCTGCCATCCACCCCCTCCACCCCTCCCTGGGGCTGCTGGGGACCCGCAAAGCCCCCTCCCCCTCGGTGCTCCGCAGGCCCCGCGGCTCGCAGACCTGCTGCCAAACCCAGCCCTCGCCCCTGCTGACACCTCCATCCTGTTTGTGGCGTCTTTGGCACTTCCCCCTCCAGCACTTCCAGTCCCCTGCGGCTCCCCAGGCCGCGCAGCTCCAGCGCAGCCCGCCGCTGAGCCAACATTAACACACGGAGGCTCTGGCGCAGCCGAGGCCAGCACCGAAGGCAGGAGCCTGTCCAGGGGTGGATCACCGCAGCTCTTCACCAGGACATGCAACCACCACAAAAGCATAAATCCATGTAGTCATTTAAAACCACAGAATGGCGTTGTGTGGACAGAAAGCAAAGGACCATCCGACACAGCTCGCTAGGGTTCACGTCCCCGCTTCAGTAAATGGATGCTGGCGGGGTAAGAGGTGGGGGGACACCCCAAAACAACCCCAGCCTCCTGGCTGAGCACCGTCAGCTCCCCCTGCACAGCCCCTTCTTCCTGCCCTGCTCCGGGGGCCCATTGAAAACGCGCCTGCTACTGAACGATGCCCTGCGCTTCCTCAGCTCCAGGAGCAATCAAGAGAGCCCAGCGAGGCGCCTTGCCTGGAGCGGGGTCACCCTCTCCCTGCTCAGTCCGCTGCCCGTGTGCTAGAGACGGCCCGGCCCAGCAGCGCCCACGGCCTCAGGGCATCCTCCACGTCCCTGGGGACCCCACACGAGGCAAACCCACAAGTTCACGCACCAAACCTCCATCTCGGGAGATGCAGCAGGGGTCAACGGCCCCAGACAGGGGAACCAACACCAAAATAGCACAGCTGTGGAAAAAAAAAAAAACAAACAAAACACCACACAAAACAAAAACCTGGCACGGCTTCACAACGGTACTGGAGGACCCCTTTTACCAAGCAAGCCCTAGCAAGTTGCTTCACTTCTTTATTTCTCAGAGTCCCAACCACAAGTGTTAGAAATTAATAAAGGGAAAGGCTAGAGTTTTGCTTGCTTTGTGTTTTATGCAGCTGCAACACGATCGTCCCCTGGGATCACCTTTCCTCCCCGCAGGCAGGTGAGGTGGAAGCCATAGTCTCTGGGTACCGGCCAGTAACTGGATCCCGCAGACCCAGATACCGACGCTGCCCCGAAAGCCTCTGCTGGGGAGAAACTGCCCCTGCGGTGAACGCAGACCCTGCTGCAGGGAGAACTCCCACCGCCATGCAGGTAAGTCCCTCGGCCCGCGGCTCAGCCGCAGCAGGGAGGCTGGCGCGAGGTGTTCCCTCTGGGACGGGGGGACAACAGCTTTCCCTTGGCTTCCTACCCCGCCAGCTTCCATACGGCGTTGTCAGGCCAAGTGCCAAAGACTCCTCTGAGGACGCATATTAACATTCCATGTCCTCATTAGCATCTCAGGCCTTCAGTAACAGGTTAAAAATAGTCAGAAAATATTAATAGTGAATTATTCCTCAGTATTTCCCCACATGGATGCACAGAAAGAAGCCTTCTAAACTACAGCATGGTAACGTCCTTCCCAGCTTGGGATCTCGCTGTGCCACAAGAAGTAGGGTTGCTTAGGTTTCTAGGAAGAAAAGAGCCTTACACTAATAATACAAAGACCAGGGTCTAAGAGTCGCGATTGTTTTGCATGAATATATTATGAATGAAGGAAAGCCTTTCTGTTGTTCTACTAGCGAGAGAATTCAGTGCCCATGTCTTCTCTTCTCCAGCTGACACACTACAGGCTCCGGACTCACCAGTGGTGCTTCATTCTCTTTAATGTCTTGCTTTTCCACGTACTGCTTTTCGGAGCAGATTTACTGGAGGAATACTTTTTGCGGTCGTTACCCCTTTCTTACACTGACGCAAAGACTCTCGAGATCAGGGAGAGGGCCGGGAAGCTAGATACGGATCCCCTAAGGGCCAATCTCTCTTACACCGTCACCAGTGCAGCAACATGCTCCGATCAAGAGATATTTTTGCTCGTTCTTGTCTGCAGTAGCCCAGAAAACAGGACAAGGCGCAACGTGATCAGGCGGACGTGGGGGAACGTGACAGACGCCAGAGGTTATGCTGTCCTTACTCTGTTTGCTTTAGGAAAGCCAGCTTCAGTAACCACCCAGCTGGAGATCAGCGAGGAGTCTCAAAAGCACAGAGACATTATTGAAGGCAGCTTCATTGATTCTCCCGAGACGCAGACACAGAAGATGTTGATGAGCGTGGAGTGGACAGTGACTTTCTGTCCCCACGCAAGGTACATTCTCAAAACAGACGAAGACGTGTTTGTCGGTATTCCAAGTCTGGCTGGGTACTTGCTTAGCTTAACACAGCTAGAGGACATTTACATTGGGAGGGTCGTTCATCACGGAGTGCCCGACAGAGCCCCTGAAAGCCCTGGCTTTGCTCCCGTCCATCAATACTCCCAAGAGTTTTACCCAGATTACTGCGATGGGAGCGCTTTCGTCATCTCCCAGGACGTCGCTCGCAAGGTGTACGTGGCCGCCGAGGGGGTGCCAGTTTCAGTGCCCCCCGATATCTTTGTCGGAATCTGTGCTAAAAAAGCTGGCATCACGCCCATTCACAGCTCTCGGTTTTCTGGGGAGAAGCACATCAGCTACAATCGATGCTGCTATAAATTCATTTTCACCTCTTCCAACATGAAAGAGCACGAGTTATTTCAAGACTGGAAGGAAACAAGCGATGGGAAAGATTGCTCATTACTGGAAATGTACTACGGTCTGGTGTCCTGCAAGGTTTTGACCTATATTGATAGGTTCAAACAGTTTAACTTAGATAGAATTAAAAATGAGGTTCTTCATTTCGCCGATTAAGGTTTAACTTTTGCAAAGAAAATCTGAATTTTCTTTTCCCAGCTCTTTTATCCTGGTAACGTTTGGCAATAACAATCTCCTCGCAAAGTCAGCTCTCTGCCCCCCAACAGCAAATGAATTCCCAGTGCTGTAGTGCGTCACAGCAGCGAGAGGCGGAGGTACGCTAGCTACCCAAGTACCCACAAGCGCATGCATACAAGTAAAAAAGAGTATTCCAAGAATCTTTGTATCCTGTCTTTTCCAGACTTTTGAAGTCCTCCACCTTATGCCAGAACTCCTTCAGTGTTTTTTAAGCCGAGTGAGGCAGCACCTGCTTCCAAAGCGTTCTGTAACAAAGGGGAATCTCCATCCACAAACGGGAGCTACGGCTGAGCAGCGTTTTACAGTGAAACTGCACAACAGCTCAGAGCGGGAACAGGCATGGAACCGCCACGGGAACTGCTGAGGTAAACAGCCCGGGGAGATCCCGGGCAAGAAATGCAACTTACCTGTAAAGAACCTTGTATTTCTGTCAGTCATGGCATCAGAGAAACACCGACACAAGCAGCTCAATGCCGTAACGGTATGCTGGAGAACAGCGGTGAAGTCAGAACAAATTCACCAGCATACTGGTAACACAAACCTTACTCAAAATGTAAGAATTCCCCACATTAGGAACCAGCCACCGAATACATCTTCCAGATTAACTCTTCCACACCAGCTCTTTCAGCAGCAGGCAGACCAGCTGGGCAGATCGGCTCTGCACTCGTGACAGACGCACGGGAAGAGGCGCGCGTGTACCTGTGAGGGTCCCGGCTGCCCTCCCCGCGGGGACCGAAGGAACCGGAGATGTGCTCCGACGGATCCCCAATTCTTCAGCACCAAGTTACGCTGCTTGTTAACCAGGGTCAAATGATGCGCTTGGGTTTGGTTTGTTTTGTTTTTTCTTAAAACCGAGTTCAGCAAGTTTAGCATGTCACCTCAATCCTCCTTCTCCATCATTCCATTTCTGCTTTTTCCTCAGTTACCTGCACCTGCTGCTTTACGGGGGGAGGACAGGGACAACATGCTTAAATTTCCCCATTGTATACAAGATACAGCAGCAGTAACATGTAAATCATATGGCAATATACAGGATGGGTAAGGAATTACATGTGAATAATAAGGGGTAAGTGCCTGATCAATTAATCAGAATGTTGAGCTCAAAGCTCAACAAAATAAAGCATCTGTGCATATATAAAAAAATCCCCCTGTTTGGCATCTCTGTGTATTCTAAAATATTGTATTTGGCAAATGTACCACGCAAAGCGGACGCTTAAGACTTAGCACACAGAGTAGCCTTCAAAAGCAACAGCTGAAAACACACATGGAAGAGACTCATGAATTGCAGAAAAGGTTTATATATTGATTTCTTTTACTGAGATTTTAGTATACAGCTCATACAGAGCTACCAGCGCACAAAGCCACCTAAAATAACAAAGCTGAACTGTCCAATACAAGCGCAAACTAAGGACTTTATACTTTTTCGTTTCCTTTGTAGTGCTTTCATGTTTTTTCGGATGCGGGATTCACGAAGCTTCTGTGCTCCCTCCATTCACAAACGAGACACTGGGTGCTGCATTTCGCACTAGCAGGTGTTTATTATGCACATCCAGGATGAAAGCGCCAGCAGTAGCATCATGTTGGGTGACAACTTTTGTACATATAGATCATAAGCAACAAGGCAGATCACCTGCATTCAGACAGCTTATGGAACATAAGGAGATCTTCCCCAGCTACGCTGCTCCTCCGAGTCCACTTTGACTCCTTGCCAGCAATTTTTGGCTGGCAATACCACCACCTCTGCTGCAGCTCAAAGCTACTACAAGCAAGAAAAGAGTTACTGCGTGCCTACGTCATCCTGCTTCGCTTGGCAGAGTGGGGACACAAGGCAAGTACTTTCCATAAAGGCATACCTGACTTGACACACTACGAAAATAAGCCCCAAGGTAGCAATTTCATGTTTTATTATGCTCCTTCCAGCTATTCCTTAGATTTCTTATGCCCTCAACAAAAATAATATCAACCTTTTGTATAAAGTACATTGTGGTCTCTGTTTTATGGACAAAGACACATCACTGGAGTGTCCAGCTAGTCTTGCATCTCATCCGCAGCTAGCTGACCGTCTTCAGAGGAAGATGCACAACTCCGTAAGGTACTACATTTCCATATTCCTAATTCAGTTCATGCCCTTTAACATGAAAGCTTTATCTTCTTACCCCTTTTATTCTAACTCAGGCAACTAAAATCATACTTTTTTTTAAAATAACACTTAAAATTAAAAAAATTTCTCTGTTAAAAAATAGTGTAAACAATTTAAGATTTGGTTCTGAAGTATACTTGTAGTGCTATAGCTCATGCTCCTTTTGAGCAAGGAAACTGAGCTGCCATACAAAGTCGCAGTCAACAAGGCAGACAAAGCTCCCAGTTTGGTTTTATGCACTAGAGTTTGCATTCATTTGTTTTAAAAAGGGTTAAAAGCTTTTTATCCATCCTCAGCATAAATGTAAACAATATTTAGGATTATTTATTCAAGCAAGACTTACATCCAGCCAGTTGAAAACAGAAGAGAATCCAGTTCGTACTCCCTCATGTGGACAGAATGTTCCTAGCTTATTCTTACCAACAGGGTTTCTGACAGAATATGACTGGCTGAAAGAGTATGTTCCATGCGAGTGCCAAGTTCGGCAGATATAAAAAAAATTAAAAAAAAAAAAGAGAGAGACAGACTATGACAGCATCTGAGGTTACAAGCCTCGAGGTGTTTTGGTGTTTGTTTTTTTAATTGAACTGTGATCTACTGAGAAAACACGATAGGAACTCCAAACCCAAGAACAGTTTAACTAAACACTGATAATTTCTGCAAAACGAGGCAGTCAGCAGTTGACAGAGTGCTCACCTTGGTTACTCGTCTCACGACAGTACAGAGAACTTCTGCCACGACATTCTATGGAAAATTATGCTGTGCCCTATAGGTTTTGAGTTGCTCTCATGACTGTCATTTCAAACAGTCAAAGTGCTTCACGTTCCTTTAAAGAGACAATCTAAAGAGACACCAGTGTGGGGAGTCTTGACACTTTATATCTTAACACCTATTTCAGTAACATGGCTTGCAAGAAGGGGAACCAAGGCATCAATGACCTTATTCTGCTCCTTCCACGGCCGTAGTAGAAACTGCCTTAACGTAATACGGGCCTTCACGCAAGTAAGCCCTGAGCCTCAGGTAATACTGATTTCCAAAGATTTCCGCGATTGTTTTAGAGTTTACGAGGGCCTTAACCAGTTCATACTTGGCATCCTTCGAAGCTTTGTCAGGCTCCACAGATCTGTCTACAATGTATTCCACAAACCCTGGACTGTCAAGCATCAACTTCTGGGCCCATGGTTGATTTGCAATAGCCTAAACATGAAGATAAAAGGGGGGGGAGGGGGGAACACCTCATTTTAAAAACAAACAAACAAACCAACCAGTTACACAGTAGGCTGTTATGCAAATAGCCAAGAAACAGAAAAACTGAAATGGGATATTCATTCTACACAGTAGTTACAACACAACCACCACTCAAATCAAGCAGCAGGGTTTAACACTGGAAAACAAGTACAGCTCAGTGCTTAGCTTTAAAGTTTTAAGTGAATTATCACAGCAGTGCCTCTGATATTGGAGAATCACCCAAGAACACAGTGGTTGCTTTTTTTTTTTTCCCTCCCCTCTCCAATTTATAAGAAAATAAGCATTACAGACATGACATGCCTGCTGTATTATTTAAATGGTGAATGCAACCAGGGCACAATGAAAAAGGCCTTATTTCTGACCACTTCAGGCCTTCAACAAGAAGTTTATGGCATTCATTTAATAAAAACAACGTGAGACCAAATGGCAATGCAATTCGCTACCCGATCTTTAAAAACAGAAAGCACTTACAGTAAATACGCGCAAAGCCCCACAGTGGAGATCGGGGAACGGCTGAGTACTGATGCTCCTGAAGAGTTCCAACGGCTGGCTAGACAAGGCTGTGAACCATGATTCAGTCATTCTCAAAAGGTCTTCTGTCTGCTGCTCTGGCTACACGCATCAGAGAAACGTACAGAAATGAGAGAGTTTGATTAGGATTACGAAAAGCTTTTGAGTTTTGAGTATACGTTCAACAGTTAAGGAAGTTATTTAAAACAAACCACCAGCAGATTAAACTGCAATAGTTTAAATTTTCAACTTATTTTCGTGAATGAAGAAATGGCCTTCTATAGGACATTTAGCTTGGAGGACAGATTTAAATAAATTGATTTTGATACGTGAGATAAGTGCTATGCTGGAGTGCAGTCCTGCAAGACAAATGAAAACGGCTTACTCGCTCATTTAGAGATCATTTAAAATCAGATCACTGGATCTAAAAAACATACACAGGGATTAGAGTAGTTTGCCACTATCCCTTTTAAAGCACAAGAATATTAAATTGTTTACTCTCATTCCCTCCGAAATGCTGTCTTGACTTCATGTTTTATAAACAAATTTCAGAACACCTGCCTTCTTACAAACAAACTCAAACTTTAAGCAAACAAATAAATCAGGGATTTCAAAACAGTAACATTAATGACTCCAAATACTAGAAAGCTACCACTTCTACCTCAGCTAGATGCTGCAAAAAGGTCTTCACAATGGTCAGATGCACAATAATTTCATTCTTGTAGATTAAAAAAAAAATAAATAGACAACAACAACAAAGCAAACCATAAACTTACAGGCAAGTAAAGAAGAGATGAAATTGCATCCAAGCATCGAAGTCGCAACTCCGTGGGGGCATTCTTTGCCTGGTGCCCTATTCTGTTTAACAGATTTTGAAATCTACTTCCTTTGAAAATAAAAACAAAGTGCTTTTAATTAATCCAGATAGACCTGTACAGGAGTACAAAGTTACCTGTCAGTCACATTATACTACATTAACTGGTAGAAAGCGTGTTGTACATCACACCTGAGAAAGGCGACT